AAGGTGGTGACTTTTTGGCACCCAAAGAGTGGAATTTGCTGAATGTTTCCTTGTCTCGCCACAAGATGTTGGAGAGTTTCTTTAGCTGCGGTCACTCCCCACTTCCTTTTCAAAGACAATAGGCCAGTCCCTGGATGTGGGCAGGACAAGCCTGCTGCAGATTCCACTTGCACCGTATGAAGTGCATCCCAGAAAGAAGAAAGGAGAAAGGAAGAAAGGAAGAAAGAAAAAGAAGGAAAGAAAGAAAGAAAGAAAAGGAGGGAGGGAGGGAGGGAGGGAGGGAGAGAGGGAGGAAGGAAGGAAGGAAGGAAGGGTTCTCAGTTGACTACCTCCCTTGCGTTGGCTTTTATGTTGGATGCAGTGGAGTGGGGTGCTCAAGAGAGGTGTGTGGCGAAACAAAATGAGCCCAAGGAGGATGGGGTGCTGAAGGAACATAGTAGACTGAATCCCAGAGCATGGTCTGACCCATACAGAGTAAGGAGGAACGTTGACGGCTCTGTTGAAATGCCTCCGCCAAGGAGAGCCCACCATCTCCTGAGGCAACCGTTCCATTGCAGAAGAGCCCTTACATTAGGAAATTCTTCCTGAGTGCAGCAGAAATCTGCTTCCTTATAATCCAAACACCTTTATAATCTTACCCTATCTTCTGGGACAAGTCCGAACAATTTTGCTGTATTATCTACACGGCCACCCTTTGCGTACCTGAGGACAGCTGTCATCCAGGCCAGCCGTATCCAGCTGTTCCTCATCAGCTTTACCTTCCAGGTCCTTAACAGTCCAGTTGTTCTCCTTTCAACATGCTCCAGTTTGTCAGGGCCCTTCCTAAAATGTGGTGCCCAGAACGGGATATGCTATTCTAGGTGCCATTTGACCAGCCCTAAAAAGACAGAAATGATGATTTCTCTTGATCTTCATGCTAGAATGACATTTGCTTTTCTGTTGTGGCATCGTGCTGTTGGCTCATGTTCAGCTTGGGTTCCACCAAGACACACAGGTTCTTTTGGCCCAGGATTGTTCTTCCCAATCCTACTTTTTGACTTTTCCCACCCAATGTAGGTCTCTGCATTTGCCTCAACTGAAACTCATATTATTGGTTTCTGCCCATGGTTCTAACCTGTCAGACCCCCCGATTCTCAATACTGTCCTCTGAAACCTTCCTGTCTTTACTGCATTTACACTTTGGATCATCTTGTTTTCTTATTCAAGTCATTAATAATCACACTGAACAGACAGGGCTGTAAGCCACTCAACACTTTCCTCCAGCTGAATGAGAAACCGCCTGTAGTCCGATTGTTCAGCCAGCTCTGGATCCATGTAATGGCTCCACAGCCCAGCCCACATTTCACTTCTTCCCTGCTAGAATCCCATGGAAACTGTGGGCGGTTTGGCTGAAGGATTCAGGAAGTATCTTAGGGTCCCCTGGTGCAGGTTTCCAGCGGCAGGAAGGGGATCTTGTCACCAACCGGTTTGCCAGAAGGAGGGTGCCCAGGGCAGGCTGGCAGGAGCACCTCCCTGCCTTCCGCCTCCAGCCCTTCCTCTGGGGTGCAGGAGGCTCTCCCGGAGGGCCCAGGGACAACGTCGTGGTGGCCCTTCCAGGCTGGCTGCGAAGCAGAGCGGCCCGTTCGCTGGGCCCCCTCTCCAGGCTGAGCAACATCTTCCCTTGGAGCATTGCTGGTTGGGCGAGTTTGGGGCAAAGCCAAGAACGGGGGACAGAGATCCAGCTGTGCCTGCCCAGCCAGCAGCAGCTTCCTTCCCCACACACAGGGCTGGACCGGACGGGGCTCTCTTCCTTCTCCCATCGAGTTGGCTACTGCCAGTGCTTGCCCAGGCCCCCCGGGGTCCCTGGCGGAGGAGGGGGCTGCGGCGAGTGCACCGGGGATGCTGGTTGCCCCCCCGGGAAGAAATGCTGTGGG